ACACACACACACACACACACACACACACACACACACACACACACACAGGAGAAGGGGAGGTGAAGACAGAGCAGACAGATTTGAAGATGTTGACCGTGAAGACTGGAGTGATGTGGCCACAGCCACGGCCACAGTAGTCACCAGAAGCTCGAAGAAGCAAGGAGTGCATTCTTCCCTAGAGCCTCTAGAAGGAACATGGTCCTGCTGATACTTTGATTTCAGCACAGTAATACTGATTTTGGACTCTGGCCTCCAGAACTGTGAGATAATAAATTTCTGTGGTTTTAAGCCACCAAATTCATGTTACTTTGTACAGCAGCCGCTGTATAAGAATATGCTAACAGAATGGGCTAAGGCTATGCTGAAAAACTTGCCATTATGTAATTATACATTCACTTTGGGATGATAATTTATTAAGATACTAGTTTTGTTCACTTCCTCTATACTATTATCTTCCCCCCTTTTGAGTAGATAACACATTTGTTTTGAATTCCTTGCCCTGGAGATTTTTTCAGGGTTGCTTATTTCAGGAAAACTGCCTATAGTTAAAGGCAGAACCTATATTGTGTAGAAGCCCAAGCTTATTGCAGCAATTAAGCTAGATATTGTGGGTGACATGAGAAGAGACAGGTGGGTATGAAGAGTGTACCACAAACAGCAAGAGAGAAGAGTCTCAAAGACCAGAAAGAAGTTAAAGATCAGTCCTGCAATTACTGGGGACCCATCCCACCTTCTTATAGTACAAATAATGACCATGATTGGTTTGCTGTTCAGTGGGATGAGGGCTTGGAGTTAGATATAAATAGAAAGAGAGAGAGAGAAGTAGTATTTTATAAACATATGGCTTTGTGAACTAAGATGCATACCTTCCTTAGGTATTAACTTCTCCCTTCCACACCATGCTGCAATCACCATGAGGACAGGCTCCTAATCCGTTTACCACCATATCCTCAGAACCTAACATTGTCTATGACCCATAGCAGGTACTCAGTAAATACTGTTGTTTTGTTTTGTTTTGCTTTGTTTTGCATAAAGAGAACTAGCTAACAGTTCACTGAGGATCAAAAAATTCAAAGATGCTCATAGGGCCACAGTGACCCACACTGTTGGGGTCTCCAAGGGGATCCCTACTTATAACACTCCTCCCTCTTCCCCACCCAGGTTCTGAGCAAAATAACATAAAGAGCAAAGATGAAAGCCAAAATATCACCTTTACTGCTGACAGCAGCCATGTTGGAGCACATGGGTTTAGGTTCAAAAGGACTTGTTAACTGAAACCCAGAAATGGGCAGACTGTCCCATGCAGGCCCCAGTGGTGCTGGGCCAGGGTGGGGCTCCCCTCAGGGAGGGAGGAGCAGAGGATTTATGCTTCCCATGGGTCATCTTGCTTCCTAGGGGAAGAAGGACAGAGCTGAGATGAGTGTGCCCAGTTATTCTCCCCAATTTTATGAGGGGGTACACTCAGGGGCTAGGATGGTTGGGTTCCTGTCACCTGTGTCTCACTTTAGCAAACATGTATAATTTAATAAAAGCTCTGCATGGCCCCTTCCACACACCATGGGCCTGGGTCCTCTGTAAGTGGTCTGGGGGCTGTGGATCGGTTGCTCTCTCCTCCACCCACACTGCTGAGGGCTCACCAGTGACATCATTTAAATTCACAAGTCGAATTTGTATCCAAAAACTATTTTTTTAAAGATTTTATTTATTTATTTGAGAGAGAGAGAGAGAGAGAGAAAGAGAGAGAGAGACCAAGTGGGGGGGAGGGGCAGACAGCGAGGGAGATGCAGGCTCCCCACTGAGCAGGGAGCCCTACATGGGGCTCGATCCCAGGCCCTTGGGATTACAACCCAAGCCGAAGTCAGATGCTTAACTGACTGAGCCATCCAGGTGCCGCCCAAATCTATTTTTGTATAGTATACTTATCATTACATTAACATTTCAGATTAAATATTATGTGAACTGGGAATACAAGGGTGTGATACAAAAGAAGGAAGTTTCTATGAAAATGAAGCTTAGAGCTTTGCAAAGGGTCAATGAAGGTGGCGTTACTGGTATAGTTTATGCAAAAACAATGACTGGGAACTTCAAGCAGACACATACTCCAAAACGGCTTGACATTAAAAGATGAGCAAGTGAATATACGGTTATGTTTTAGGATAAAATAAAATGTTTCAAGTACTTAAGTATCATCTTTTCTGATTCCCTGTGTTAATCTTTTTGTTTTGTTTTGTTTTCCAACCAACTACTGGTCCCAATCATGTTGAGTAAAAGACTTCTGACATAGATAATTCAAAGAGTCATTATGGGCCAATTACCCAGGTTTTCTGCGGTTTTCCTCCTCCCAAACAGCTGTGCTAGAGTCAGGTAACCAGGTTGGCTCTATTGCTAGATAATTCACAGCCATTTATGAAACAAACACTACTCACAGTAGGACCCCAGGCTCCTTTCCTTTCTCTTTGGGCACTTAAGTTATTTTGCTTCTCAAAATTATTCAAAAGGAGCTTTGAGAAGGTAAGTCCTCAAATGTTTCATCAGGTGACAGAACCGACAAGGGGTTAAGAACAATACTTACAGTCCCAGGTCGACTTGGGTAGAAGGCTTTTTTAAAAGTTTGGCTGGTTCCTTTTTTCTTTTCCTGACGCCCTGACAATAAGCCCATGTGTCCTCCAGTTTCCTGTCGGGATCCAGCACTTCCAGCACCTTTAATAAGAGCTACAAGCAGAAAACAGCCTTGGAGGGAAGAAAAACGTGCCGAGAAAGAAAGCCCCTTGATTCTAAAACAGAACAGACCAACATGCCCCTTTGCTTTGCTTTTCCAGCAGTTATGCCATTCCTCGGTTTCCGCGCAAGTCCTGTGCCGGGCGCTGTAGGGAAGTGTCCCCCACCTAGACATTAGGGATGCGGCTGTTGTGCTGAGGTTGGGTCTCTAGACAGAATAGTGCCCCTGGGCCTACCCTAGTCCCTCACTGCCCCATTGAGCCAAGTGCCTCTAGAGGGTTTCTATAGTTTTTGACTGCCCAGCATCCATTCTTCCTCCCATACATAACAGTGTCTAGATTTTTCTTTGGGACCCCATCCTTGCTCCACAGGCAGGTCAGGACAATCCAGTCTAATGCAACCAGTGACTGGTTTAGGAACAGGCACATAACCCAAGTTTTACCCATGAGAAGTAGGCTATGGGATTTTGCTGGAAGCATGCAAAAAGAGGTGTTCTTTTTCTTGGCAGAATTTAAATCTAGAGCAGCCTGTGGCCATCATATTACCATAAGAAGAGATCCTGCCTCAGAAAGAAGCCAACACACCTCTCTCGGGGAGGTGAGACATGGAAATAAGGGTCACCATCCCAAGTGCCATCTGAGGGTATGTGGAGATAATCTGCTTGTCATGGGCTCAGAAGCTCTGGCCTGCAGGAGGCAGTGGAGGAAAGCCCCAAGTGGAAAATAAATGATTAGAAATTCTAGTTGTCTTTTCTGCCACTAATCATTTATTCATTCATTCGTTATGCACAAATATTTATTGAGTGTCTACCATATGCCAGGTATTAGTGGTACACAGTGAAAGAGGCAGATAAAGTCCCTGCCCTTCTAGAGATTTTATTCCAGCAAGGAGCCCAGTGGTGACAAGAGCTACGATGAAAAATAGATCAGGGTGAGGGTTAGAGGAGCGGGTGGAAGGGCAGTGTTATTTTATGAGACATTTGAGCAAGGATCTGAAGGTGTGAAGGAGTGAGCCAGACAGACACACAGGGGCAGGTGTCCTGGGCACGGAAGAGAAATCTGAATTGGACATGTTTGCTCACGTCCACAGAGCAGCAGGAGGCCAGCGCGGCCGGGGCCGGGTGAGAGCAGAGGAGTAGGCGGCGAGGCTGGAGCGGGAGTGGAGCAGGGGTGGGGCGGAGAGCAGACGCAGACGGCACAAGGGCCTTTCTGACCAGGGCGGAGACTTGACTCTGACTAAGAAAGGGCCCTGGAAGGGCTTTGCAGAGAAGTCAGCCGTGCTGACTGACCTAGGGGACAGGCTACGTTGAGGGGAGTGGGTAGCAGGTACTGTTAGGTCCCTGCCCAATATCCATTCCGCCTTTTTCCTCGAATCTAACAGAATTGTATTCTAGATTTTGTTCTCCGTCACAATGCCCAACCAAGAAACTCAATTTTCTAGACTCCCATACAGTCAGCTGGCACGGACCCTTTAACTTTTGTTCCCACTACCCGCCCCCCCCCCCCCGCCCTCTTGTTTGAAAGACCCACTGCGGAGGCGTGGAAGCCATCTTGAGATTCAAGCCAAGAAAGAGCCAGATGCTAAGGATTATGGCACTCAGAGTCAAAAGCAGCCCGGGACACTGGAGCTGCCCTCCAAACCCAGCCTAATGATGCAGTGACTTTTCCCCCACGACCTTTCAGGTCCCCCCATGCCGCCTACCCAGCCGTTAGTTAAGTACGATGGACCCCGGCTGACACCAGGCTATAGTAACAGAAGCAAGACTGGACAATTCCCCCTTGGTTTCTGCCCTCCAAAAGTCCCAAGCGAAGGAGATTGGTAGACCTTCAGGGGAAAAGAAGTCGAATGTTTCGGTTTACTGGACCTTTATGAGTTGTGTGGCTTCACAGCAAACAAAAGGAGTGGCGAGTGCGTTGCTGCCAATGTCCTTCCCGGGCGCAGAGAAAAGAAGTCTGCGCCAGCCCCCATGAGCACTCTCACCCTGGGAGGCGTTCCTCACCCCCCCAACCATGCAAGCATGTCACCCCCTCAAAGGAGCTCCCACACGTCCAAGGAGAATTCTTTTCAAGGCCCTCCCACAACCCTAGGTCAGGAGGTCACCTCGACAGGCATGTCTTCCCCCAGATTAGGGTAGAGAGCCAAAGGGTGCGGGGTTAGCTGGGCTTCAACATCCGCCAGGAATGCCTTCCGCGCCCGCGTCGCTGGTGACAGCTTGGGAAACAGGGCTGCTTCCTTGGGCCGCCTGTGTTGCCTCTTCCTTGGGGCAGGTCGGGGAGCTGTGTGACGGATCTGCGGGAGAAAGGCCTCCTGAGGACCCCGAATGAGCAGACCCTCGCAAGGCGGGCAGCCCCTCCTGAAGTCATCCAGTCCCTTCTTCACAAACGTCCACCGCAGGCTGTTCAGGGAGGTGGGACACGTCAGCTTGTGCCTGTGCTTTGTGAAACACTTGGAAGGTAGACTCTCCTTGTACCTGGAAGACAACATGCCTGGTTGTATGGAGCACAGGGATTGGGGCGGGAGACAGAGGTTGTAAGGAGGCTGGCCTCCACCTTTCTTGAGGAGGTGAGGTAAGAGAGGAGGGGTTCCGAGGAGAGGGTTGAGCTAATAAGACTCCTAGTTCACCGCACATCATCTCTGGCCTATGCAAGGCCCTTCTCCTGTTTCCTTAGGCTGTTACCCCGTATCCCATTCTAATTGCCCCCCTGCACAGGCAAAACCCCTCTCACAGATTTAAAATGTACCCTTTTGCTTGTATACTCCTTGTAATATCTGTATCATTCTTTTATGTGCATGTATCCTTAATTTACATATATGGTAATATTCCATTTCTTACTGATTTGCCAAGTACCATATTATAAAGGCCCATCCATGTCACTAGGTGTAAATCTAATTCATTATTACCACCTGGTTCATCTACGCATGCTCCTCTCTCACAAGTTGCAGCTCCTCCAGGGACCTTTTCTTATCCTTTAAAAGACCACAGTGCAGTGGGAAGAACCTGCATCCCAGGGACCACTCATGCCTAACTAGCCAAATGACCTTGGCACTTCATTTAACTTCTGTTGGCTTCAGTTAACCCCTTAACCTCAGGTCAAAGATTTCAAACTGGCAGTCCATGGGCTGCATGGGACCTACAAACCTGTCATTTGGTCCCTTTTCTGTTTGAATAAGAATTAGAAGACCTAACATATATCAAGGACTTATATAACAGGCATGTTCTAAATGCTTTACATGTATGAACTTATCTGAATCTCATAACAATCCAATGAAGTAGGTACCGAGTACTGGCATTATTCCCACTTATAGATAAGGAAACCGAGGCACGAAGAAGTTTGAGAACAAAACAAACACTTGTGAAAGATCCCACAGCTAATGAGTGGTAGAGGTGGGATTTTAATCCAGGTAGTGTGACTCCAGAGAAAGGTGCTTAAGCACTACACTAGAGCTTCTGACATAGAAAAAAGTTCACATACATAATCTAGAACAAAAATCAGGCTCTCTGGGAACACTGGGTCCACCTTTTCATGGAGCCACCAATTAGTATAATGGTTGCCCTCTATAGACAAGTCCTATGCTCCCTTAGTCAGGGTCTCCACCCCTCCCTACTGCTTTATTCTACCCAGGCTGCTTCACCGAGTTTCCTTACCCACAAGGCCCCTGTCTGCACTGAGTTGTTAGGATATAAATATGAGATGGAAGCAGTTGATGGAAGGAAAATAAGACCAGTTCCTGGATAATCTAACACATCCAGCCATTGCCTAAGTCAGGACTTGGAACCTGAGCAGCTGAAGGGCAGGTCACTCATTCTCTTACTACATCACTGCCTTACTCAGATGTTTCTATATTATTGGTGTCTTTTCCTGAAGCCTCTTCCACCTCCAGGCCCCTTTCATCTGTAACGGCTCATTACACCAAATCTACTCCTTGCTGCACTCTTCTTTATAGGCACAAAGCGTTTCTAAGAGGTTCTAGTTTAATCCCTATTCTTTCCTTATGAGTCCTAGAAATGTCTTGCTTGCTATATGTGCATGCTGGGAGGGGGGGCTTAAACCAGCTCTACTGTGAAGATCTAGATGAAAGGATACAAAAAGTTGCTCTTTGAAATGAACAAATCACTCTTAAATAGCTAAGTGGCAGGGTGTTGAAATTACATCTAACCTTAAGATTTGATGACCCATTCAGCATGACCTATTAGTAAGTAACCTTCTATAATATTAGAAATCTTTACAAAGTTTATTTTCTACACATTTACAACTAACTCAAACATCCAAGCACTTCATGAAATCCAATCTGATGACTGATATTTTTGCTTACGGACAGTTATACCCCTCGAAATGGGGAAAGTATGGCAGCTAGCTCAAGCCTCAGAATGTTAGAGCTGGCAGAACCTGAAGGAAATCTAGTCCACCTCCTCCCCTCCAAATGAAGAAACCAAGTTCTGAGAGATGAACAAGCAACCACTATAGCAGGAGGGCTTCCCACTACCCCACTTTGCCTCTCGTAGCTAATAAACTTACCTCTGCATTTTGTTGTTTATGAAAAATTTTGCTTGACCCAGAAAATAAAACTGAAAATATTTTTTTCTAAACATTTACTATTTTCACAGTCATTAGCATATGCTACATGGATGGATAGCTCCATCCGTAAGAATTACAAAAGAGTATTGGTCATTTATCCTAAAGAAATGAAAACTTATGTTTCTACAAAAACCTGTATACAAATGTTGATAGCAACAGCAAAAACCAGAAACACCTGCATGTCCTTCAATAGGTAAAACGAATAAACAAACAGTGGTACATCCATACCAGCAATAAAAATGAACAAACTACTGGGGCACCTGGGTGGCGCAGTTAAGTGTCTGCCTTCAGCTCAGGTCATGATCTCAAGGTCCTGGGACTGAGCTCCACATCAGGCTCCCTGCTCAGTGGGGAGTGTGCTTTGCGACAGGAGCGTCGGGCGCTGGTTATTTTATATTTTATACTATAATCATTTAGGTGCCGGGGCACTTGGGTGGCTCAGCCCTTAAGCGTCTGCTTTCTGCTCAGGTCATGATCCCAGGGTCCTGGAATTGAGCCCCGCATCCAGCTCCCTGCTCCGCGGGAGGCCTGCTTCTCCCTCTCCCACTCCCCCTGCTTGTGTTCCCTCTCTCGCTCTCTCTCTCTCTCTCTCTGTGTCAAATAAATAAATAAAATCTTAAAAAAATAATAATCATCATCATCATTTAGGTGCTGAGAGGTGGGGAGAAAAGGGAGGCGGGACCTCCAGCGGCGCCCTCCCCAGCCATCTGCCCCCCCGCCGCCCAGCAAGCACCGGGTGCAGGCGCCCCCACGCGGCACCCACCGGATGCGCCTCCCGGGGCGCGCCGAGCTTACCGGGGCCGCGTCGCCGGCCCGCACAGCCGCCCGGCCTCGGCCATGGTCTCCCCCGCTCCGGGACGACAGCCGGGCCTTCGTGCTGTGTATTCCCGGCCGCCCGGGTCGCTAGGAGACCGCCGAGCTGTGCGCGGGCCGGCCCAGGCGCCCCCTTGCGCACCCGGCTTTCCCCCAGGAACGCGCCGCCCTACCCCCACCGCACCCCGGCCTTCGCCGCCGCTAAGAGCGGCGGGCAGTGGCGGGCCGAGGGAGAAGGAGCAGGTCCTTGGTTTAACCGTGTTGTAATCTGTCGGGAAAGCATCGTCTTCCCACGGAAATTTGCGGTAGGCTGGACCACGCCTGTTTTGCTCACCACCATTTCGAAAAGGGTTTGTTGAAGGAAAGGAAGAAGCGGCTGGATTGATAGCAACAGAAGAAGAGTGAAAAGGGAGGGAAAGGAGTCCGAAAAAAGTCCGAGTGGGGCGAGCGAGCTGAGTGGTTGTGTGGTCGCTTCTTGGAAACCGGTAGCGCTTGCAGCATGGCTGACCAACTGACTGAAGAGCAGATTGCAGAATTCAAAGAAGCTTTTTCACTATTTGACAAGGATGGTGATGGAACTATAACAACAAAGGAATTGGGAACTGTAATGAGGTCTCTTGGGCAAAATCCCACAGAAGCCGAGTTACAGGACATGATTAATGAAGTAGATGCTGATGGTAATGGCACAATTGACTTCCCGGAATTTCTGACAATGATGGCAAGAAAAATGAAAGACACAGACAGTGAAGAAGAAATTAGAGAAGCATTCCGTGTGTTTGATAAGGATGGTAATGGCTATATTAGTGCAGCAGAGCTTCGCCATGTGATGACAAACCTGGGAGAGAAGTTAACAGATGAAGAGGTTGATGAAATGATCAGGGAAGCAGATATTGATGGTGATGGTCAAGTAAACTATGAAGAGTTTGTACAAATGATGACAGCAAAGTGAAGACATTGTACAGAATGTGTTAAATTTCTTGTACAAAATTGTTTATTTGCTTTTTCTTTGTTTGTAACTTATCTGTAAAAGGTTCCCCCCTGCTGTCAAAAAATATGCATGTATAGTAATTAGGACTTCATTCCTCCATGTTTTCTTCCCTTATCTTACTGTCATTGTCCTGAAACCTTATTTTAGAAAATTGATCAAGTAACATGTTGCATGTGGCTTACTCTGGATATATCTAAGCCCTTCTGCACATCCAAACTTAGATGGAGTTGGTCAAATGAGGGAACATCTGGGTTATGCCTTTTTTTTAAGTAGTTTTCTTTAGGAACTGTCAGCATGTTGTTGTTGAAGTGTGGAGTTGTAACTCTGCGTGGACTATGGACAGTCAACAATATGTACTTAAAAGTTGCACTATTGCAAAACGGGTGTATTATCCAGGTACTCGTACACTATTTTTTTGTACTGCTGGTCCTATACCAGAAACATTTTCTTTTATTGTTACTTGCTTTTTAAACTTTGTTTAGCCACTTAAAGAAAATCTGCTTATGGCACAATTTGCCTCAAATCCATTCCAAGTTGTATATTTGTTTTCCAATAAAAAAATTACAATTTACCCAAAAAAAAAAAAAAAGGGAGGGAAAGGCATAGACTGATTTTGGGTGGTAGGAAGGCCTTTTAGCGTGGACTGTTTTTTGGAGGTCTCCTAGGCCTCACCGCCTCCGTAAACTGAGGGCTGAGTACTAATACCTGGTCACCGGCTGATTTCCAGAGTCCCTTCCCGCTCTTGTGTTATTTGATTCTTTTGCCTGGACCCACTTCTAGCAGTGACGTTCCCATCCACTTGGTCCCCGTAGGCAGAAGCCCATGGGAGTATGGCTGGCATGAGGATGTGTGTTGGGTTTTGCTAAGTTCTCTTACTACTTCTGAGTGTTCCTGACTTAAATATTAAGCATTGCTTCCAGAGGAAAAGAGCAGCAAAGCATTCTCCTGTCCCCAAATGTTAAATTGTATTTAAATTGTTTCTTTACAGTGGGATAATTTTCCTAGTCATTTAAAGATGAGTCTTCTCATCTTCAAAATCTCTGGGAATAAATTAGCTTCACCTTTGGGAATCTGTTAACTGTCTGGATACTATTCAAGTTGCTCTGACTGGTACTAGTGTTATGGGACAGAACCAGTTCCTAAGGCAGGTTTGGTTGCCCGAGGCTGGAAAGTCAACAATCTAGAGACAAGTGGTGGTGGTAGGAAAGGAAAGGTTGCTTTATGCAAGAAGCCAGCAACTTGGGAAAGTGGTGGATTAATGTCTCAAAGACCATCTTCCCCATCCAGGTGAAGCTGGAGGATTTTTAAAGGGGAAGCTGTGGGAAAAGAGGGTGGGAGGGGAGCGCTGTGTGCAGGAGAAGCGGGTGCCCAGGCAGTTAGTCATCTGCCGTCATGACCCTGAACAGACTTGTTGGCATCCATGGCTGCTGTTTTCTAATGTAATCAGGCCTTATCTTCTGGGAAAGTTTGGTCCTTCACTCCTCAAGGCCAGTGGTCTGCAAATCTCAAGGACAGTTCGTTCTGCTACAGATCAAGGGACTTGGGTCAGCAAGCAAGGAGTGCATAAGCTTGAAGCAAGTTAACCCTTCAGGCTGGCTGGGGTGCTGATACACTAGTTCCAGCATCTTCATTTGCTGTCTGTGTCCAGCTGCCTTTTCCATGCAGTGTAGAGCCCTGGGTCCCACCACCTGAGATGAATCCTGACTCAGCTACTTAATAATTAGGCACCCCTGGGCACAATTACTCAAACTGTTGTAGCTCCATTGATTTTCTAGTCTGAAATGGAGGAAATAATAGTATCTCCGTATAAGGGTTACTGGCAGATCAAAGAGATAATGATGTAAAGCACTTAACAGTGCTGGCTATTAAGAATCCCTGCTAGTAAGAGCAGTAGTGGTATCTCAGTTGGGGGTGGGGGGGAGAGTAATATTTGCCCTGCCTGCTTCCCAGAGCTGTTGTAAGAGTCAGTTAATGGAGAAAGCGACAATTGTAATGATTATAAGGAGTCTGATCCATTGTTTTCATTATCTTTGGTAATATCTTTCATGTTCATTTGTTTGCAGATTCAAGCTCCTATTACTTTGAGGAAGTAGGATTTTTTCATAAGACTGAGGGGAAGGGTTTTTATCTCTTGCTCCTAGTGCTGGGCCTGGAGTGCAGTAGGTACTCATTCAACAAATATTGGTTGTTATGGTCATTCTCGGCACTAAGGATGCAATGAGGAATAAAACAGACGTGGTCTTTGTCAGCTTGAGTCTTGGTTTCTGGTGTATGTTGCACGAACTAATAAGGATCCACCTGTTTCATGACTTTTGCATCCTCACAAGTTGATTACTTGCTCCATGTAGTAACTTTGACTCCATATCTAGTAAGAGACAAACAACTTCTTTTTACTTCATCACATTCTAAACCCAAATTATAGTCATTACTCAGGGAATCTCTCATTCATTCTCTCTCTTGTCTGTCTCTTTTGCAACACAAAGGTAAAATGTGTTACATATATGAGTAGATGCTATTTAAGAATGAGGATAATGAGGTTCTGGGGGTCTTTTCTAGCTTCACTACCAGGTAGTGTAACCATTTTATTTCCCAGTAGGATTACTCAAACACCCATAACAGGGTTGCCATACACTATTACTGCATCTTTCCCGCTCAAGGACTAATTACTGTTTCTGTAGCATTCTACTCCATACGTAGCAATACTTAGTTCATGGTACTTTCCAGAAAAAAAAAAAAAGCATTTGAACAACAAACACAACAGAACTTTAAGCTGAGAAATTATAAAGTGGTCCTGGACTGGTAGAAACCTTTGGTGTCTTTACAAAATATTACCAGTCATCCCTGCAGGACTACAAGGAGTCTAGACCACTGTACCCCCAGCCAGTTCTTACAGCATTCCTACAGATAAATTTACAGTGGACATGAGCTCACCAACAAAAATAAAACCCACCAAGAAAAAAGGCACAATGACTAAGAGACAGCAGAAACAACAAAGAACAGAATCTGATCACAGAGACTTTATGTATTGGGATGTTCAGATACAGAATATACATAAATAAGATTAGTTTTGTATAAATATATATGTTTACGTACATAAAATAAGCATGTTTCCTGTGTTTTGGAAGTAATAGAGGGATTTGGAAATCTGAGCGAAGTACAAGAAACTTTTTAAAAGATTTGAAAAAGAACCGAACAGAACTGGGCGCCTGGGTGGCTCAGTCGTTAAGCGTCTGCCTCCGGCTCAGGTCATGGTCTCAGGGTCCTGGGATCGAGTCCCACATCGGGCTCCTTGCTCTGCAGGAGGCCTGCTTCTCCCTCTCCCACTCCCCCTGCTTGTGTTCCTGCTCTCGCTGTCTCTCTCTCTGTCAAGTAAATAAATAAAATCTTTAAAAAAAAAAAAAAAAGAACCGAACAGAACTTACAGAAATGAAAACTATAATCATTTCCATTGGCCTCGAGAGGTTATGGTCCAATGGATGGGTGGGTCCCGAGATCCAGCAGGCTGGTAGATTTGAGGGGATGCCTGAGGCATCTGTAGTAGGCTAGACTCATTCAAAGGAAGTTGGAAGAGATCTCAGCTGCTACTTTTTGGAGAATGGTGGGCCGTGAAGAGTGGATTACATGTAGAGATTTGCTGGTGGTAGGAGGGGAACCAGTGCCGTTACTATGGAGAGCAATCGAAAGGACTGAGTCAAACCAAGTAAACGGCGTGTTTACAACAGTCTGTACTCTCATTTGCCCCCGCCTGTCCCTCCTGGCTGCATTTGGGGGTGGGGTCAAATAGCAGAAGGCACTGAAAGGAGATCCGAGCGGGGTGGGGGGTGGGATCAGGGTATTTTTCTCTTCCTTTGTCTCCTAGGGTGTATATATATTTCTGCCTTCACTTTCAGCTCCCACCAGGCAGCCCCGATATGATTCCAACTCCCATCAGACTCGGGCTCCAGTTATAAGTAATTCCTGTGGTTTGGATGTGGTAGGGGCTTTCCTGCTACTGATCTCTTGGTTACCTCATATCCTCTGTTTGGCTCTCAGCTCTTCCAT